GCCCCGCCTCTCCGGAGCTTCCTGCCCGCAGCTGATAAGGCGGAGCAGCCCCGCTCCTCCCACCCGGGCGCGCGGATCACGTGTCGCCCTGCCCGTGAGACGCGATTGGCTCCACGCGCGGGCGCGGGCCCGCCACGCGCTTCCGGGCCAATGGGAAGCTGGCCTGTTCTAGCCAGGGGCACGCGCCTGCCGCGCATGGCTGCCGCGCGCTGCGTCAGGTGGGCCCCTCATGAGGGATGAGGGAGAGAGGGGATGAGGGAGCGAGGGGCGAGCGGGAGCGACTTTCCCAAAAGCTGGGGGTTCTGCGGTGCGGCCGAACCGGGTCCGCGGGGCACCGAGACGCAGAACTCTGCGGGTTCTCCCCCTGAGGCGGACCAGCCTGCGGTCCTCCCGGTATTTACCCGTATAATCTATCGTGTACCTGGGATTTCAGTGTAATTACCGCCCGCGGTGTTGCTCTCTCTCTTTGGCAGCGGCGTTACCAAGGATCTGGGATTGGGAAAACAAGTTAAATGGAAGTTTGGCATCAGGTGAAAAATGTGAGGGAAGCCATGTAGGAACCCCGTCCTGGGACTGCCTGAAAGATCAGGACCGGGATTTCTCACCTGAAATCATTGAGCTACCTCCAGTTTCGTGTTTGCTAGCATGCAGATGTAAATATTACAGGAATCCACGGAGCAGGTCGTGATATCGTGGTGTTGTTTTTATTTTTAGGAAATCCCCTGACTTGGACAAAGGCAGGAAGAAAAACCCCGTGCTTTTTGTGCAGCTGCGTCAACTTTGCCTTTCTGCGTACAACATAAGCAGTACACATCATTGCTGTAACCAGCAAACAGGAATCATAATACGCAAAACATCTTCTCTAGAAAGAAAGATAACTCTCATTTTGGATGATCATCGTCACAGTCCAAGAGACTGATTTTTGTGAAAAAAGATTTTACCATTTTTTATGTCTGTAAGAGACAAAAAGGACTCACAGAACAAGCCATTGGAAACAGAAGCTTATACAGCTTGACATTTCTTGGGCTTTTATTAATGAACATCCCCATGCAAACTGTATTTTTCATTTTATAACTTTATCAGATACAGTGAGCTAATTGTGAGGTAATTTTGTTTTGTGATGGCACTCCTTTCTCAAACTAGTCAGCAGGGTTTTCAGGCTTTGCTATGGAAATGTCACATGTTCTGGCCTGTTTCAAGATGTCAGCAGCTGTTTGCTGCCTCTTTCAGCATCCCTAATAGGGAAAAAATTAACTATTTCAGTTTTATGACATCTTCCAGCACTGCATTACCTGTGGACCCCAAAGAAACTGATGTTTTACCTACCAAGAAAAGGTCTGAAATTGATTGCAAAGAAGGAAAAGGATGGGATGAGGAGACTAAAGAAATACCTGAAGGGAAATTCCACTTTTCTTCCTCTGTTGGAGCTGCAAAGAAATGGTCAATGAGTCATGGTCTGTCAAGGCATAAGTTTAGCAATGTACAACCTCCAGAAAAACCTTTACAGGCTGAGGAATGGAACAAACTAAAGGAAGATTTCCGATTACCTGAAATATTTGAGGAGGTGATGCTGAACAGTATGATCAGGTGCAACAGCCCCATTGATGTGGCCAAGTCCTTGCTGACCCACGTGGCAAAGCGTAATGGTGACATTGCATACAATGTGTTGGTCAAATACCTGACACTCTGTGTCCAACAGGGACAGGTTTCAGAAATCTGTGACGTGTATGACATAATGAAAGCCAGGTTTAAGATTTTAGAAAGTGGGGCTTACAACCTTCTAGTCAAGGGGTTGAGCAATTCAGATCAATGGAGAATGGCCTTGACTCTTTTGGAAGAAGTGAAAAAGATTATGATTCCATCACGGACGTGCTACGAGTCTTGTATCAAAGCAGCCAGCCGTCACCAAGAAATGAAACTCGCCTTTGAACTGTACAATGAAATGTTGGCTAAAGATGTGGTCCCAACCTTGGATGTCCTGCAGTCGTTTTTTGACTACAGCAGGGGTATGAAAAGTGCTGAGTTACAAAAAGAGCTCTTTGGTATCCTCTTATATTTGAGAGAGAACCAAATATACCCTCACAAAACATTTATGCGGAGTATAAAGCTATGGTTTGAAAGGTAAATAGAGTTTCAATAACAAGATGCAGTTCATGAGGAGGAGGGATTCATATTATCCCACAGATCAACTCTAAGACTCCTCAACATCTCATTTTAATTTTTGCTTCTCCACAAGAGATATGTTGTCATGAAAAGATGCGTTTAATTTTTGCTCACTAATTACTGTGAAAGTTTAAAGTTTTTACTGATTTCACCTTTTCTTTTACCTGTTAAATACTACTCCTTGGTCCAAAAATTAGGAAATCATGTTGGGTCATGGCAATTCAAAATATCTGACTTCATCTCTTTCTGGTGTGCTAGATAAGGAATATTGACAGATGTATGAGGGCTTTTCCTGTAATTTATTGGAGTGTAGAAGTAGTAAGCTAGTTGAAAGTTAAATATTTCTTTAAAGGATAGAGACAGCAAATTCCACTAGGTAAAGTGAAGATTAAATGTATGGACTTTGTTCATCTCCTAGTTTTCTATACAATCTTATTAGGAGGCTCTATGTTTTAGCACAGTATTTAGCTGGTCACACTGTTTGTTTCTATGTGTAGTGATTGTCAGACTCTGCAGATTACAACTAGTTACAGTGCACATGCACAGTGGGGTTCACCTGAGCCCATTCCATATTTGTCATGAGGCTGGATGTGAGCCCAACTGTGATTTTTTTAACTGTTCACTTTGATTTATGTGAGCTACAGAGCCATTTTACAAGTTAGTCTTCCTGGATTGAAAATGTGGCAGAAGCAGTAACTTAACACTTGTCAATGCACACTGATTGTTTGTGTCATTCTTAAAATTTGGGGACAGCATAAACTGCTGAGGTCAATAGTCTCAATTCTTTGCATGTTGTTAAATGCTGGTTCTTTATATAATGTTTCTAGGTGTTAATTAATAAATTATTATGGATTTTTATATAATTTCTTTGCAGGGTAGATGGTTGTTTGGTTTTTTTATAGCTGAATGTTGACCGGAATATAATTATTCTGACATATAATTCCGATATTGTTAAATAAGAACCTAATGTTTTTATTTATCTTTCTCTCTGTACATATTAGTGTACCAGGAGGGAACTGGAGAGGACACCTGACCAGCATTAAAGACAGGTAAATGCAAGATTTTATTTATAAGTGAGGTGTTGTCTTGATTAGTCTATGCTGGACTATTCCTTCAAAAATATTAAAAAAATTGCTTTCCTTAGTACAAAAGTATTTCAGTCCTTGAGAATATGAACCTCTGTTGTGACATGTGAGTTCACAAACTCCAGTTTCCAACTCCTTTTTTTACATTAAACAAGACCCAACATGCACATTTGGAAAAGAGCTATACTTAGAAGAGCCAATATAGAAAAACACTGTAAAAAGTAAGAGGTGCCATTTTACTGTGTGGCTTATTTGTCTCCTGTTCAGGATTTAAAGACTTTATTTTTTGTTGGCTTTATAATACTGTTGTTTATCACAATCTAGCAGAGCAGCTTTGGTGTGTAAAGTGTTATCTTCTTGAAAACTGATACTATTTGCACACTGCAGTTAACTTGTACAGATGAAAGGTTTCTCCCTATCTCATTTTCAGTGAAGGCAAAGTAATGGTTCTTAGGTTTTCACAGGTATGTTTGGGTGTGTTTCTATTACAGTGCAGTTTTCTTAATGTCTGTAAACTGCTATTTTAAATGCAATTCTATTTGAATCTTTGTTTTATAGTTTTGTAGCAATCTAGCAATTATAAATGTATTAATCATGAGAATGTCTCCAACAGATTATGGGGGGTTTAAGTAGTTTATAAAAATGCTCTGTTGCATACTGTGAAGTGAAAGCACATGTAGGCCCACAGTTTTTGAAGCCATTGGAAGAATAGCATAGCTCACTCTTTTAAGACTTATTTGCTATCAAATGCATTTATTACTGCATAAGAATGTGTGTGGTACTGTACTCTGTTATAATAATTCATCATATTTTAGATAACCTTTTCCAGCCTTTAAGAGTTTTAAAATTCTAAGATCAATTGTCTTGACCGAAAGCAAAGTCTGTTTTCTATCTTACTGTCTGTAAACAGTTAAAGACTTTGACAGCTAAACTAACTTTGATCACCTCATATTTTATCATGGATTAAGAATCTTCAAACAGAATGTTGACAAGTGGTTCCATAGTAGTTATTTTGTTAGAACTGTAAGAACACTTTATTTTGAGCTAAACAAGTTTGAGGTAGCCTATATGGAAAAATATTTGAATAAAATGAATTTTTTTTCATTAGAATAGAAAATAATATAAATAAATAAATAAAAAATAGAAAGAATATAAGAGCTAATGACTTTAGTAGGTTTTGGATGCATCACAGAAAGAGTACAACTGATTTTCTGATGATTGTACTGTGTTGGGGTTCTTTTAAACTCATATTGACTCAAACAGACACTTGATAAATTAGTAATATTTAAGGAATTTCTTACTCAAAAGCCTTTTTCCTTTTATTTTCCTGTTTCACTATTGTTGCAGTGGACAATGCCCAGTTTGCAAGCATCAGCTGGAGGACAGTAACCTCAGTGAAGAGGAGTACAGTAATCTCAGTGAGAGAATAATAAGGGATGTGATACATGGAACTGACACTTTTAGAAAAACAAGTCCAAAGGTAGGTCTTGTACACTATCAGGTTCATTGACTAGAAGGGTAATATACAAGTAATGTTCAGGCACTTAGAGAACACCAGATTTTTTTTTTATTTGCTTTAAACATTGGTAGGTCACTAGATAGGCCATGAAGTATCCTGTGTGTCTTTTTCAGTTGTGTTTATAATTTGAATCTAAATCTCAACATTTTTCATATTTTATTTGTTGTTATATTTTCATCCAGCTGTTAACGGATGCTGAAATAATTAAAATGTGGGGGGTTTTTACATTAAAAAATTAAAATCTTTTAATCCTCCAAAAGCTAAATTTTAAATACGGAATAAAACCCACTGAATAGAACAAAATCAGACATCTTAGCTTGCAAAGAAGTAAAAGAACTGGGTATAATTTTGTTCTATCACCTTTTACCCACCAACCTATCAACTACTCCTCAATTTTAAAGATACACTTTCATATTCATAATTACAGTATAATTTATAAGGATCAAGCTTTTCAAAGGTCATGGTAAACATATGAGAGGGCACAATTTCAGATGCTACGGTATATTTCAGTTCTATGACTTCAGTAAAGCTTTTGACACTGCCTCCCACAGCATTCTCCTGTTTAAGCTGGTAGTCCATGGCTTGGGCAGGTATGCTCTCCCCTGGGTGGAAAACTGGCTGGATGGCCGGGCCCAGAGAGTGGTGGTGACAGGAGCTACATCCAGTTGGCAGCTGGTCAGCAGTGGGACTCCCCAGAGTTCAGGGCTGGGGCCAGTCCTGTTTCATACCTTGGCTGATGATTTGGACGAGGGGATCGAATGCACCCTCAGCAAGTTTGCAGACAACACCAAGCTGGGTGGGAGTGTTTATAAGCTAGAAGGCAGAAGGGCTCTTGAGGGGTCTGAATAGACTGGATCAGTGAGTCAAGGCCAGCTATGAGGTTCAACAAGACAAAATGTCAGGTCCTGGGCTTTTGTCACAATAACCCCAGGCAGTGCTGCAGGCTGGAGACAAAGTGGCTGGAAAGCTTCCCAGCGGAAAAGGACCTGAGGGTGCTGCTTGACAGCAGTTGGACATGATCCAGTGTGTGCCCAGGTGGCCAAGAATGCCAGTGGCATCCTGGCCTGTATCAGAAATCCTGTGGCCAGCAGGACCAGGGCAGTGATTGTCCCCCAGTACAGAATGCTGGTGAGGCCCCATCTCAAATCCTCTGTCCAGTTCTGAGTCCCTCACCATAAGAAGGACATTGAGGTGCTGGAGCATGTCCAGAGAAGGACAATGGAGCTGGTCAAGGGTCTGGAGAGTAAGTCATAGGAGGAGCAGCTGGGGCTGTTCAGCATGGAGAAAAGGAGACTCAGGGGAGACTTTACTGTTCTCTACAAGTGCCTGAAAGGAGGCTGCAGCCTGCTGGGGGTTGGTCTCTTCTCCCAGACAACTGGCAACAGTGCAAGAGGAGATAACATCAAGCTGTGCCAGTGCAGGTTGAAGTTGGACATGAGGAAGAATTTCTTAATTGAAAGGGTGTAGAACATGTAACAGGTTGCCGAGGGAGGTGGTAGTCACCGTCCCTGGAGGTGTTCAAGAAGCAACTGGATGGAGCAGAGTGCTATGGCCTTGTTGACAAGGTGGTGATCAGTCACAGGTTGGACTTGATGATTTTGGGGCTTTTTCCAACCTTAATGATTCTATGATTCTATTTCTGACACATATGTATGGAGATAACAGATTTGGTGGTAGCAATATGGAACAAAGCTGAGCCCCACTAGATGGAGCCCACACCACATCTCAGGTGCTTTATCTTTGAGTATTGACTGGGGGTTTGCTGCAGCTAGCACCTCAGTTCTTCACTAGATTTGAAAATATGGAAGAGGACACCAGGTTTATTCTTCAGACTTTCTGCAGGCATGGACATGTTTATCAGTTACAGAAACTTGAAACAGATTTGGGGTGTTTGTAATACATACAGCCTATTGTGCAGACATCTAATTTCCATACAGATTTTATTTTCAGTTTAGGACTTTTGATCTGATCTAGTTGTGAATAAAATTCTCCTTAAAAATGTAGCAGTAATTTTAAGTATTTAATAGATACTGGTGTTCTGTAATATCATAAAATAAACAAAAGGATGTGTTTTATTGAACACTGTATGGCTTGAAAACTTCAAATGTGTCAAGTAGACTGGGCTGGTTTGGCAGTACCAGTTGAAGGTGGAGAGATTAGGAAGGGAGTTCTGGGTAACAAGACCTTCACACAATCTGAAGAGCTGTAGAAATTCTGTTCCTCCTGTGTGAGAGCCTGACTGATTAAATGAATACAATGTAATGAAAAAAAGACTCAATACACTATATTAAATTTTGATGTCAGTAGATTCTGTTAGTAGATTCTGTGTGATAGATGAAATTCCATCATTTATCACTCTGGGACCACCTACCTGTTAGTTTCAGGTTGATCTCATTCCTGTTCTGTATCAGCAGGCAGTCCCTGAACGGAGATGAACTTGGTGTGTTTACTGTTGTTTGTACAGCTTAAAGTCTGCTTCCTCAGTGAATTTTGAGCATGGATGTGGGGGTGTGTCAAAACAGTGTCATGATATATCAGATGTTTCCAGAAATAAATTTGGGACTTTTTAGTTGTCCTTGTGCTATAAAGGCAGGCATGTGGTGACAAAAATATGTTGCCCATTTTAGGTATTTCAGACTGTGTGACTTCTTCTGCAGCCAGGGGCTTCCAGAGGGGAACTAGGTGATGAGGCTGAAATAAGGATGTAAGCAAATATATCTGAGAAGGCAGGGAGATTTACTTTTCCAGTCAATCACTTTTTTGTAGTGGCTGTAATTCAAGTAGGAAACTTCAGCTTTGTATTCTTTTCTTCTAACTAGTTTTCTTTAGTGCATCTTTATTTCCTTCAGTGAAATGATTAATTAGGGAAATGGTTTGAGTTGTTTCAAGCTCTAAATATTTTTTTCCAACAGTGTTTCAAATTGAATATATTCAGTTTGGAATCTCTTTTTTTCTTCATGATGAATAGTCTTTTGTCTTACTTTTGCAACAGCTTCATTGCTTTATTTCTGTCACTTAAGAATAAATGTGATCAGAGTAGAAAATGAGGAGCAAAGACTTGGTTTGTTGAGGATTCCCCAAAAAGTAGTTTCTTGTGCAGTGATAAAAAAAAAAAAAAGTCTTTTTTGTAATTAGTTTTAGGAAAGAAAATCAAACAACACAGGTTTGTACATGAGAATGGTAGTGAACACTGTTTACAAATATGTTGAAAAGATGGCCTGCATGAACTATAAAACTGATTGTGATAAGGAAATGTTACACATCTAAAATAGGCATCCTGACTTTTGGGCTTATACCATCCATGGACCTCCCCATGGTTCAAAATCTGGTGAGTCATCACTGCAATACTGAAAATTCAGATCCTTATGCATAGTTCTGGAAGGTCTGTCAGGACATCATGTGATGATCAAGTACAGCAAGCTGTAACCTTGCAGGCTGCCACAGAAAGGAAGCAGTTATAATAAGATTGTCACCTTTCATACCAAATTTCTACATGATGTTTTCTGTCAGATGCTTGTTTACTCTGGCTGCATTTAATTGGGAGCTATGCCATTGAGCCTGAGAGGATATAATTGGTATGCTGAGAGGCAGAATCGACTTTTGCTGTGATGACTTTCATGTCACAGCTGCTCTTGGGTGTTTACACAAATTCTGTAATTTCATTCCCTTTGTGGCTCCTACATACCTCTGATAAGCCTGAAAGGGCTGTTGTGCAGAGGGAAGGAAGCTTATGGGAGATGTGTATATGCTGTCAAGAAGGCAGGAAGAGATGGGTTTGTGGTCATGTGAATTCCCACACTAGATCTGGGCTAAGCAGGGATTTTACATATTCTTCTAGAACATAAGGGGTCAACAAGGAGGAAGTAGCCCATTCATCTCAGTGTCCTCTTGCATCCAAATGAGGCAGTACTATTTCCAAGGAACCTTGAACATAAAGTTCTAACTCTTACCTTTCAGATTGATACTTTTTTTTTTTTTCTATAAGGCTGTGGTTCTCCTTCCAACTCCAAAGGCCTAAGTGACCCAAAGAGGGCTTTGAGTGTGTCAGTCCTGTTCTGAATGTGGCACAGTATGTGCCACAACCCAGGCTAAGTGTGCCATTTACCTTCTCTACCTCTGTTCCCATGGATGTGAGCTGAGTCCTGCACCAGCAGTACAGTGGGCAGAGTCTGTGAATGGGCAGCACCACACTCATCACAGTGAGTGCCTGCAAGCTCCTTCCTGTTCCTGACCATTCCTCCAAAGGCTACAGCCACAGCAGGTCCTGACTCAGGGATTATTTGTAAACTCAGAGGCCAGACGAATTGTGTGCAATCCAGAGCACATAGAGATACCATATGCAATACTGAGAAAAGCTGTCCTTTTTAGAAGGGTCTGAAGGGGATTTCCAAGCTTTCAAACTGTAGGGGAAGTATTGAAACCCTTTGGGCATAGCAACAAATAGATTTGAGTGCTCCACCAAGGCCTTAAAAAAAAGAACTGGCTGGATTTCAGTTGGACAGCTGAATTTTATTTCTCACACTTAATGTTCATTCCTGTGTTTTTCTTCTGATACCAAGAAACATTGCTGAAAACAAAGCAACCCCCATAACATTGTATTTTATGAAACTTTAAAATGGAATGTTTTCACTTCTCTAAAATATACCCTGTTTGATAATAGGGGCAGTTACATTATACTTAAGTGCAGTATAATATTCTGTTAATCAGAATTTGCTCTTTCCTTGCACTTGAGGATATTGTCATTTAACAAGAGAGGACACATTGCTTTTTCTGCTGCACAAAGTATTAAGTATTAAAGTATTGTGAATTCTTCTGGAAAAAATATATATTGAATATTGTAGTTTTGCATTTTTTAATTTAACTAGTGTCTCTCCACTATTCCTGAAGTGAACAAAAACTTTATTGTTTAGAGGAAGTGACAAATGGCCTTTTCTGCAGTGATTTGAATATGATTTAGTGTG